TCCAACTAGACTTGTGTATAATTTTGCAACTCGATATTCTTTATCATATAATATCGACAAACAAAATAGTTAAGAGGGAATTTGGATCTGATGACTTAGCTTTAAATGATTTTTTCTCGGAAGATATACCGACAACAAAATTTATCTTTGAATCTTTGAACTTGAACTTAAACTGGAGACTTAAACGTCAGTCACATAAAAGAATTATTTTATGCTTGAATCGTTATTAATCTAGGTAGTTGCAGGGAGTACCTTCTTCTTCTTCGTCTTCTAGTACCATCTACACTAATGTAGAATGGCTATAACCATTGCAAATTCGTCCCTATCTTCTGCTTTTCCTAAGAGCTTCTGTGTGTGCTCAAAAGCTTCCAGTTTTTTTATTAAGTCAACATTAACAGTTTAGGCTTCGACACCATAAAGAAGAATAGAGTGGATATAACATTTTACTATCCAATATCGGATTTGCAGATTGAATCTTTAGTTACTCAGAAATTTCCTCATCTTTAAAAAGGCTGCTCTTGATTGCTCTATTCTTGAGCAAATTTTTGATTTCGAAATCAACTGTTCCGTAACCCAGACTCCTAAGTATTTCATTTTGTCCACTTGCTCAATATCTTCATTTTTTATCTCAATCCTTAAAATGACTTTGCCACTCTTACTGATAACCACGGTTTTGGTTTTCCTTATGTTTATTGTTAAACCAAACTGTTCGTCAGTATCACAAATTGTAACGTTTACAGGTCTATCTCACTTTCGACGATAATGACTGTATCGTTATTTACACAAGATCTTGTGTAAATAACTCCTCGGAATAGCTCTGTCTCACTATTTCCATTTAATGTCACCACAGCCTGTTTGTTACAATAGAGATTTCTCACTATGTTAATGTCATTTTTATCGAGTTCTTTTCATGAGAATGATATGTTTAACTTTGTCGAAAGCTTTCTCATAGTCCATAAACGCAACAAAAATATCTTTTTGTTGGTCTCGACATTTTTGCAACAGTTGTGAAACTATACGGAGCTTCCACTATTCCGAATACGTTACGAAAACCAAACTGTTACTTATTCATATCTGCTTTATACTTTCTGAATATTCTTTTATGTATAATCTTTAAAAATGTTTTTAATAAGTGTGACATTAAGCTGATTAATCTATAGTCATTACAGTTCTTATCTCACCAGATTTGTATATGTTGTTAAAGATTACAGTTATTGCACTTAAATGTCTTCGTCTATAAGTTGAATCAACTCGATATGAACTTCATCTGGCCCAGGGGCTCTGCCAGATTTTGAGTTGTTTATAGCATGTTGGACTTCAGATTTTAATATTATTGGAGCTTCCTCGTTATCAATTTGTGTTGGTTCCATTCTTGTGTTGATGAAAAGATCCTAAATACAGAGTGGCCCAAAAGTCTGGAAACGGCTAATTATCTTGTAAAATGCTGATCATAATTGTACAAAATTTGAGGTACGCCTATTTTGGGATACGGAGATTCCACATTTGATATTTACAATGTTGCCAGATTTGTCGTTTTTCTTATATTATTAGTAACTTTGGTTTTTCAAATACATCACCCTGTATATTCAGTCATTATTGGAATCACCTATTCAAGACGAGTTCAACCATATGTAACACTTATGATTTTATGTAATCTGGAAGGTCATAAATACATAAAACCGAGGTCTGGCAACGCCTAAATTATTTCAATACATTTTTTAATAACTACTAACTATTTTCAAATACATTACAACGTAACAATTGATAGTTTAGAACATTTTTTAACATAGTAGTTACGTTATTAAGTGTTCAAAATGTGCTCAATTTGTGAGTTGACAGCACCCTAATCGATGGTAGAAGGCGTCTACCACATTTCTCCATGATTGTCTAGACATTATTCGAGATTCATTGATAATTCGTTGCCTTAGCTCTGAAAGACTTGTTAGTTAAGTTTTGTAAACTGAATTTTTCAAGTATCTCTAATAAAGATAATGTTTAGGATTGAAATCGGGTGAACATGGAGGCCATTCAATTCTACCCTGTCTACCAATTTATCGTCCAGGAAATATCTCATCTAAATAACGCCGAACATTTACACCAACTATCTGACGTTAAATTTCTTTCGACAAAAAATGACCCAAATGAATAAGTAACTACTATATCTGATCATACATTTAATTTTTGTGGTCTTTGAGTATGGTTTTCACGCATTCAGTCTTCAGTGTGAATTTACGTCACACCAGCACCTTAAATTGTGTCGATTTACACTTCCACACAGTGTAAAAGTTGCTTCATCGGAAAAACATATTCTGTTAATGAAATTTTAATAATTTTCAATTTTATCCATCATTACCTCAGTAAACTCTAATCTACGACCAAAGTCATCTTCACTTTAATTCTTGCAATAAGTTAATTTTTTATGATTTAAATTTATTTTTACGTAATAAACGTAAGACTGAAGAATTACCTACATCATGTACTTGTGCAACCCTGCCTGGGGATGTATGTGGATCTTCAACAAAACTTTGCTTATATCTAAAGTTTTGTTGTCATTGATAACTCGTTTCGGTCAACCTGATCGGTATCTATCTTTTACTTCTCCAGATTCCTCAAATCGCCTTACAGTTTTTTGTACCGTGTCGTCTTATGAATAGGAGAACGGTTTAGAGAACGACATTTTAGAGAAGCAATTTAAATTGCAGAACTTTTTGAACCACAACTACTGTCAATTTTAGTTCATAATTTAAATGGTGAACAAATGTCAAAATCACCGCATTCTCCATTTAAAAATTTAAATTTATTAAAATCTACATATTTTGCACTATTTTATGTATAAAATCTTTCAGACTACATAAAATCAAGTGAACATATGGTTGAACTCATATTGAATAGCTGAACTCGTGTGAAATTCACACTGAATGCGTGAAAACCATACTCAAAGACCACAAAAATTAAATGTATGGTCAGTTATAGTAGGTACTTATTTAATTGGGCCATTTTTTATCGAAAGAAATTTAACGTCAGATAGTTGGTGTAAATGTTCGGCGTTATTTAGATGAGATATTTCCCGGACGATAAATTGGTAGACAAGATATAATTGAATGACCTCCACGTTCACCCGATCTCAATCCTAAAAATTATTTTTATTAGATACTTGAAAAATTTAGTTTACAACACTTAACCAGCAAGTGTGGCATAGCTAAGGCAATTTATTATCGATGAATATCAAATAATAATTTTAGAGTGCTGTCAACTCACAAATGAAGCAAATTTTAAACACTTAATAACGTAACTATTATGTTAAAAAATATTCTAACCTATCAATTGGTACGTTTTAATGTATTTGAAAATAGTTAGTATTAAAAAATGTATTGAAACAATTTAGGCGTTTCAAGACTTCTGTTTTATGTATTTAAGACCTTCCAGACTTCATAAAATCATAAGTGTTACATATAGTTGAACTCGTATTTAATAGGAGATTCCAATAATGACTGAATATACAGGGTGATGCATTTCAAAAAAGAAAGTTACTAGTAATATAAGAGAAACTGAAAATCTGGCAACATTGCAAATACCAAATATGGAATTTCCGTATCCCAAAATACGCGTATCTTAAATTTTGTATAATTATGTCTAGTAATTTACGAGATAATTAGCCGTCTCCAGACTTTTGGGCCACTCTATATATTTAGTCCATACTTGTTTTATTTTAATTGGGGTATTAATATGTTTATTGTTTTTGTCATAATTCGGTTAGGTGTATTTGTTCGTGATATTCAAATTTATTCTTTCACTTATGTATGTAAATTATAATGATTATGCTTTTTTTGCAATTCCTCCACTTCGATGCATGTTTCCATCATCTACTTTTCCTTAGCCTCTTTTATTTTGTTTTTTCTCAGTGTTTTTCATTACTGATGTTAATTTCTTTATTTCTTGATTGATACAAGTTGAATCAGCAGGAATTTCATTAATCTTGAGTAACTGAGTATTCATCTTAGAACTTTTGGATTTTATTATCTTTTTTACCCTTAGTTTCATATTTGAGACATTGAGGTTATGGTCTGAGGGGACATCTGCTCCAAAAAAAGTCTTAACGCGTACAGTGGAATTCCTAAATCTAAGATTGATTAAAATAAAGTCGATCTGATTTCTAATGCAATTTTGTTCATTATCCTGTGGTGACCTCCAAGTATACAGTCTACGGGGTGGTAATCAAAACCATATGTTCCTAATCGCCAGGTTTTCTTTTTAAGAAAATTGAGCCAATCTGTCGCCTCTAGCATTCCTTATTCCTAAACCATAATCACCTATTTTATTGTCGACTCGGCCTTTTCCTATTTTTGCATTTAAATCACCCATTATAATAGTAATTTATTCCTTTCTTATGTATTGTAGAAGTTGTTTGAGTTTTTTATAAAAATATTCTATTTCAGCTTCTGATTTATCTGCAGTTGGAGCATACACTTGTACTACATTAACGTTCACTGGCTTACCCTGTATTTGTAATAATAGCATTCCATCCGAAAAAAGAACAAAATTTACAACGGCAAGGTGGATTTTCCTGAAGATAATTATTCCAACTCCATATAGTTGATCTCGGGTTTCATTTCCTGCGTAGTATATCGTTTTATCCATGACCAATGTTTTACCGGTACCAGGAAAGCGCATTTCGTTTATTCCTAATTTTTCTAGGTACAGTATGTTCATTTCCTCATTAGGAAGTACCTAATAAAACCTTTATTTGTATAAATAATAACTTTCATTTTAAAGTCATAAATTTTATTTTTTTGTATTTATTTTATTTTGAGCCGTAACGGATATTAAAAGTGAATACACAAAGAAACTGTTTGGTAAATTAAAGCCGTGTAATATTTTACACTCCGAGTAGACATTGTTCAAATGCTGGTACATGTGACACTTATAATACTAACAATCATCAGCGACAAAGACTAAACTGTGCAGTGTTACAAACTGTATATATTTTATATTTATTTTAGGGAGTCACGTTGGCAGACATTAATGAAATTGAAGGTAAAATTGTAGCTGAACAACTTAACAAACAATTTGGAGAAAATAAAGCTATTTTTGTAAAGACTAATATAACAGACTATTCAAATTTTGAAGGTAATTATTTTATTTAATATTCATGATTTTAATAATAATCCTTTACTTATTGCAATATGTCTTCATTGGCAATGACAAAATTATATATATTGTTTAAGCTAAATATCATTCTCATGCTTAAAACAAACCGAAATTCTGATTCGACAGAATCTTTTAGAGCTATTTCGTTAGGCTTCTGCGTAACAAAAACACTGGGAAGAATGATAAAACTTCGAAAGCCCGAAAGATTGTTAGAGAAAATAATAAAATATTACAAACACAATTTAGATTTCTCTAAAAAATCATTTTTCCTTGAAAGCAGTGAGCCACTTGGTAACAGATATAAATTTACTGTTTACTTCAAATTCTTCAGTAACAGCTCTTTTATTAGATGTTGCATTATAAGATGATGACAATATCGTTAATAAATGCCTTAGATTGTATATAGGAACCCTAAGAAGTACACCAGTACCGTCTGCTACAATTTATTGTCCAGGGAAAAATAGACAGTAAGCGAGGGCCAGGCAGGAGAAGACACTCGTGGCTCCAAAATCTGCGGAGGTGGTTCGGGCTCACATCGGTCGAACTATTTAGAAGCGCCGCAAACAAGATCAAAATTGCCATGTTTATAGCCAACGTTCGCAACGGACAGGACACTTGAAGAAGAAGAAGTAGTACACCGATTAGTAACCTACAACTTGAATGCTGTATAATACCAATGGATATAAGACGAAACAAACTAGGCATCAAACTTTTAGAATATCCAAAATACACCGGTTGTTCTTAGTAGACTTACAGAAAAATATTAGATAAAGAATATATATATATATATATATATATATATATATATATATATATATATATATATATATATATATATGTTTAAAATTAATCTAGGTGATAGTTCACACTGTATGTGTGGTCAGATGAGTAACCTACAACATAAAAAATTTTGGACTGATCTCTTATATCTAATAAGGTTAATAATTTTTTAAATTTTTTGTATTCTTTGACTGATGTTCACCAGCTCATTAATTTGAACTATTTATTAACATTAGAAAACAATGAGTTTTAAATAAATTATTGTATAAACATGTTTTAGTTATTAAACTCAAATTGTAATTGTAAACAGAAAGTAAGAATTGCTTTGTAATTTTTTAAATAACTAAAAAAGCACCTAATAGAAAAAAAAACTAGAAACAAATTACAAAAAAAGACTATAAATATATATATAATATATATATATATATATATATATATATATATATATATATATATATATATATATGAGTATCTCATATTATGATACTCATAATAAATGAGTAAAAATTGTGAGATTGGCGAATGGATTCAGTGTCTGTAGTGATATAAACCCAAACAAACAACAAATATATTTTTTAATATTTACTATTATTTTGATTTTCCGTTTTTTATTACTATTTTTCATTATTTAGTTATTTAATTAACAAATATATTAATAATATTATTTGGGCTTAATGTAGTTTGAATCTGCTTTATCTATTGATTCTTTTTTATATCTGGCTCATTTAACTAGAAAGTTGATGTTTAAGCATTTTGAATACTATCGATTATTTTCGTCTAACGTATTAACAAGTTTTTATATAAAGCTGTATTTAATATTTGATATTGTTTAATGTTGATATTTTTTAGATGCATTTAAAATAACGGTGGAGAAATTTGGAAACATAGACATTCTCATGAATAATGCCGGTATAGCAACTGATGGTGCTTTTAAAAAGTCAGTAGAGGTTAATGTTGTAAGTATTTCAAAAATATAAAAATACTAGTTTATCAAAAACTTGGTCTTTATCTTACGGATGACGTATTTTATTTATATATACAAATTTTTTTTATTTTTTAGCTTGGAACGATTAATGGTATGATTTTGGGCATAGAGCATTATTTAAGCAAATATATGTCAAGCGATGAAGCTGTTATTGCTCTTACTTCCTCTGTTTGCGGCTTGGAAGGTTATCCCCAATGGCCCGTTTATGCTGCTACGAAATTTGCAGGAATAGGTAAGAACGTATTTACAGTTTATGTAGTATCTCGTAATCGAAGATATGTTTGGTTCAGACAAAAAAGCAGGTTAAAAAAATTGTTCACCTACAATATAGAATATTTTTTTAAATTAATGAAAATCATTGCATAGACATTTACGCAAGTCCACCACTTGCTTTAAATAGTAGGTAATAGTTTCTTTTTAGATCCACTAGATGTGTATTAAGATTGCAAATGCAAGTTTTATCCCAACTATTTTCATCACTTTGATATACCGTTCCAAATCTACTAACATTAGCAAGTAATGTTAAATCAGAGTATAAACGCAGATTCAGTATTAATAATCCAGTTTATGGAAAGATTCCGCGATATAATTAAAAAGTTAGAAAGGTAGGCTAAGAAACCAACTACTATTGATATAAAAAGGGTTTTAAAAGCTGATATAGGTACATTAAGAAATTTTAAGGAGCAAGTCGGTCTAAAGTCACTCAGTCCAAAAATATTGACTAGAAGTTTGTGTGTTGTGTTTGTTGTTTTTACACTTAGAATAGACACAAAAATTATTTCAGTACTTTTAAAAACAATTCAAAATTTCTAATATAATTTCTGAATCAATCACTAACATTTTTCAAAATACATAACAGTAATGAGCGCACTAATACCCGACAGAATAACGCAAAAGATGAAATAACGCAGAAACGAAATCAGTGAAGATGGGAAATTTAGCCATAGAACCTATAAAATTTACAGTTCATTTATTGTTTCCCACCTTTAGACATAAGAGTTTGGAAACTACCGCCGTCCTATTTAATGCAGGCCATTCACGTTCCGACTTGTGGTACGACTAGTGGTCCAACTTCTGCAGTTGGATCTGAAATCGGACCGTGAGTGGGCTAGTTGGATTAGTTGGACAACTAGTGGTACGACTAGTGGGACGACTTGAAGATCCGACTTCCGACTGTCGACGAAGTCGGAGCGTGAATGGTGAAGTTGGAAGTCGGATCACAGGTTGGATCGAAAATTTCCTCAGTCAGTTGACTTTCGGCACCTGTTACGTATGAGATTTCTATTAAATATTTTACGCAAAGATCTCTAGTTCGCGAATATTTAATAGAAAATAAACTTTCATTTGCACGAAAATTACCTTTTTGTTATGGCAAATCATTTTCCTTTCTGTAGATCTATTTCGGACATTCCTATACAGGTAAATTTCCATACTCCGGATTGGCTACGGAAGAATTATCAAGAAACAATGAAAATTAAATCATAGTTGTAGCAAAAGATCCCTAGTTCGCAAAAAAATAATAGAAAATAACTTTCAATTGCACGAACAATTATTCCTATTAAAAATATACGACACACACACACAACAAAATAAATCCCAGCTCCAGTTTAAAACAAATAAAATATAAATTTTATACCTATACAAATCTTTAAAAACTATAATTTTTTCCTACATCTTAAAAAGTCATAAAAATCAAGAGTTGAAAAAATTAATTAGTTCAGCCCTAGACAAATAACTAGAGAAACGAAACCTAATTTTTAAACATACATATCATATTATTATACTTTGCGTAGTGTTTATTCGATACATTTTTTGGTTAAGCGATGTACACCATCGTGAAAACAACCTAGAACTGCAGTTGGACCGCTAGTTGGATAGAAAGTCGGAGCGTGAGTGGAGACGAACATCCAACTAGTAGTCCTACTAAGTGGGACCACAAGTCGGAACGTGAATGGCCTGTCTTAACAATGCTACCGCTGTGACAGTGACAGTTTTGGTTGACATCCTCCTATGATACGTCTAAAGGTGGGAAACAGTGAATAGAATGTAAATTTATAGGTTTCTATCGCTAAATTACTCATCTCTACTAGTTTCACCTCTTTTATCTTACAACTTCATATGTTTTCCATCGTTTCGATCGTATTTATATAAATATGTAACTACCAATATTTGATATAATTTCTAATATAAAATTCAAAAGCCGCAGTATCTCTTTTCCTGCTGTTAATTTTTCTAGAACTTAATAGATAAATACTTAATCCGCTTGACCACGAAAGCGAACTAGGTTATGGTTTTCGGAGCGAACTATTATCTAATTAAGAGAGTTTTTTAACCTTGAGAGCGAACTAGTGTGCTCCGATTTTAACAAGAAATGGATACATAGGTGTCTTATCGAGTTCCAAGGAACGGTTGAAATTACGAGTACTTGTTTTTGGTGCAACTCAGTTTGTATCTAGTTTGTCCTAAATTAATGGATGATTTAAATATAGACACAAAAAGGAAGTCTGGAATTTCAGATGTAGATTGAAAACAAGTTAAAAGATTCACGACACATTTTAACGAACTATTTTTCGACCCCTTTTTATAGAAAATACTTTTAAAAATAAATATATTGCAAAGCACCATAGCACAGGGACGTACTGATATTATTAATAACGAAATTTATTAGTACCTACCGTATTAAGAAAGAAATGTGGTGGTTTATGACTATCTGAGTTGGTCGATTCTCTGGTATATACAGAAACGTGATTAACGTAATTAAATTAAACCAAATATTTATTACAAATACGAAAGTAATTCCTTAAGGCAGCGTTTTGGATATTATACTAATAATATAATAAATAAGCCCCTTTAACTTTAACAGGTAAATATTGTGTAAAATTATAGGAATGGTTTTGTCGTGGGGCACCCAGTTTCACTATGACAGGACAAAAATAAGGGTATTCGCTCTTTGCCCTGGTCCCACACATACCAATTTGCTAGCGGCAAATAATAAATGTTTGGATCCTGAATATGAAAAAGCTTTCGAATTGCTCGAAGAGGAAATAAAAAATACACAAACGTGAGTAAAAAATATCACTTTGTAATGGAATATGCTATCTTTAGAATAATATTTAACTAAATCAGTTATTATTTCTTTATTTTTAAATTTAATTATAATGTGTTACATTATATGTAATATGTGTTACATTTTAGGCCGGAACATGTTTCCACAGAAGTAATGAAACTATTGAAAAATGCAAAAACAGGATCAATTTGGATAATTGAAAGTGGAAAATCTGCCTACGAATTCTCTTTGCGTACACGAAAAGATATATTGAAGTAGTTTAATTAAATACCATTTATATGAGTACCACCTCTAATTTTTTTTATATGATGTCCATTAACTTAAGAAAACGTTTTAAATCATATAGTTTAGAGTAATTATATTTTGGCATAATATTTGTTTACCTACAGACATTTTTAAATTATAACTAGACTAGAAATGTTATGATATGACATTGTTCGACAACCTAGACTACTAACATGGGCATCGTTGGTTGCTTAAGGTTTAGGCAACCAAGGGTTTAGCAAATAATTATTATTATCGTCATATAATGGTATTATTAACATTATCATCAACTAGCATCTAACGTCCACTGCTGAATATAGGCCTCTCGCATGCTTTTCCACTTAGTCCGATTTTGCGCCATCCGAATTCAATTTGTAGTCACTCTTTTTATGTCATCTTTCCATCTCGTTGGGGGTCGACCTCTATTATTAACAAGTATGTATTTAATGTATCTTAAAATAAAAGATAATAAAAAACCTGCTCTAGAGTTATAATATTCAAAATATTGGGTCTAGTGAGTTAGTGAGCCAGTCATGCACACAAGTAAAAACAATTGGTATCTGTCCTAACCTAAAAACGTACTTCTTCTTTTTCTTCTTACTTTATTGGGTAATAACCCAGGGGGTAATTTGCCCAGCTAATTCAGGGAGATATTCTCAGCTTACTCTAGACAATCGAATATCCCCATATATCTTCTTCTTCTTCTTCTTCAGCCTGTTTGCATCCACTCCTGGACAAAGGCCTCCCCATGAGTTCTCCACTCTTCCCTGTTTTGTGCTATTTGGTGCCAGTTTCTCCCCATTTTTGCTTTGATGTCGTCTAGCCATCGTTTTTGTGGTCTTCCTCTACTCCGACTGTGTTCGCGTGGTCTCCAATGTACAATGTTTTTCGTCTATCTGTCGTTGTTTTGCCGTGCCACGTGCCCTACCCAGTTCCATTTCATTTGTGCAATTCTTCCAATTACATCTACCCATATATCTAAATTGAAATTATTTATTTTATATTGAATAACTATGTTAAAACTTCTTCTTCTTGGGCCAAACAGTTAGTATAGGAGAGAAAATTCAACACAGGATAAAACTTTTCTCTTTTGGGAGTAGCAACTAAGCTGTTGTTGTTGTTCTCTGTTAGGTGCTTTTTAGTTACTTATATATAAAATAAGCGGTGAGGTCCTCAGAGTTCCACAGCAAACTCTTCTGCAGTTATCTACTTAATTCAATAGCTACTTTACTGTGGACTGTCCAAGTTCCTCATTTTTTAATATTTTTATTAATCAAGCTAAACACATGCCAGAAATGCTACTAACGGATGATAGTCAGAGAACCCAGGTGTAAAAAAGAGAGGAATTTGTAAGGTTATGTTATAGGAGTTTGTAATTTTGTTTTAACCAATTCTTTGTAGAGGTCAACATTAGGAGTAACGTTTATTGGACACTCTAAGATAATATGATTCAGAGATCCAATTTGACCACATTCACAGTATGGGTTGTCCCGAATACCTATGCGGAATAAATGAACGGGAGTGAAACAATGCCCTATTCTCATTCTAATTCCTGTGGTCATTGTCTTCTGTCTTTATAAGGAAATTTATTGAACCATGGTGATTTGTTCCGTTTATTGACTAATATTTTTTATTATAAAACGACTTTTTTGATCTGTTTGAATTCCAGTCTTGTGCTCATCGAGTCCAAATTAGCTTTTTAATATAAAATAAGTAGTTTAAATAATGCAATTTAACTTTGGCTAGCATTTTTAGTGATCTTCCTATGTTTGCCAATTTGTCTGCAACACAATTGCCCTTAATATCCGAATGCCCTGGAATCCAAGCCAGAATAATACTGATGTTCTGTTGATTGTCTTCTATAATGCCCCTTTTGGTCATGTTAGAGGTATGTTCAGTTTCCATTGAGTAAGATGCTCTCCCTATCTCTTGGATAGCACTCTTAGAATCAGACAAGATTAAGGCCCTCTTAATATCCTTCTCCAAGACAACTTGAACCGCATGATTAATTGCAATAATCTCTGCAGTGCAAACTTGAGTCTGTGTAGGGAGTTTACTAGAGTATGAGTATTCAAAGTCAGGACAAAAAACACCAAATCCTGCTGAGCCCTTACTATCAACTGACCCATCTGTAAAGATTATTTTGTGAAGTGGATTGTCAAGTGAGATTCTTTAAAATTAAATTAATGCATGCTCATCACTAGAAAATAAATTTGGGGTATGCTGGAATTTATTCATGATGGAAACTAAGAGGGAAATACTGTTTTTATTCTAGTAATTATGATTTGATTGCATTGATATCTGTAATTGAATCAAGGCAGAAATTATTGGATTATTAATTAGCATAAGATTTTTTAGGAGGAATTTATAATTAAGCTATTCCATCTGCATTTGAGAGGAATTTGACCACTTTCACCTAACAATGCATGAATAGGACAATCTGATAATATTTGACATCCATAATCTAAATGACTCTGTATCAAACCATTATGAAATATCTGGAGAGTTTAGGATCACTACCCCAATATGTTCCACATAGAGCTCTCATTACATTTAAGCTACGACTTACTTTTAATTCTATTAAATCCACATATGATTTCCACTTTAGGTTTTTTTTGCTTGTTTTTTGTTGAGGATTTATTCTCTCTCCTGCTACTGACAAAGAATGTAGAGCGTAGAACCTTTTTAATTAAACTTAAACTCTTTGTCATTGTTTTAGTGTAGTGTTTTATACAATTTACGTTATCATTCATGTTTATCACATTCTACGCTTGCTGGATAGCCCATATTTGACGAAATGCCCCTGAAGATGCTATATTAAGCGAAAGTACTTGGGCAAGTTTTGATTAAACTTTTGCTCGATAATTGCCTTAATTTTCAAAGTTCATTTATTCGAACATTCGACCTTATATCAATTACCTTAGGTTTTTTTTGAATAACTACTCCTAAACATTTCACTGTATCCACCCGTGTAATTGCATTATCTCTAATTCTTACGTTTGAAGGATTAACTTTACGATTCCCTTCTTAAAATATAATTGCTGAAGACTTATTGTAAGATAGATTAAAGTTGTGTTCTAATAACCAGAGATCCATCCTTTCCATTAACAAGTTCTAAGAATCAAAAAGAGAAATTATACGATTTCTACCTGTCAAAATCGAATACCGTTATTTTGTTCTAAGAATCAATTAATTTAATTAGATCAACACCACTAACCAAAATAACCAAATCATCTGTATACTGTATCAGATTACAACCGTTGGGAATAATCTCTCGTATAGGTAACGATAGAGAATACAGATTAAATAACATTGGACTTAGAGGGGAGCCCTGAGGTAAGCTCTGATTAGTTTTCCTTGGACCAAAAATTTGACCAGTATTGTCCTTTACATAAATACTATGATCATTTAATATAGAATACATGAGATTTGCTAGTTGAATAGGAATGTTACATTTAATTAGTTTGGAGTATAAAAGGGAGATGTTGACACTATTATAAGCTGCTGAAATATCTAAGAAAAGTCCTACGGTAAATTGATTCAATGAAAATCCTTGTAGTATTTTAGATTTTAGTAATGAAATGCATTCCATGCAACCTTTACCCCTTCTAAAACTAAGTTGCAATGGATTTAAAATACGATTGTGTTCTAAAAACCACTCAGTTCTGTTTTTAATTATTATTTTCAGCATTTTACCAACACACGATGAAAGAGCAATTGGCTTATAATTAAGTAGGTCAGTTTTATTCTTTCCATGCTTAGCAATGGGTAATACGACCGTCTCTTTCCACGAGAGAGGAACCTGTCCCTTCCGGATACATTTATTAAGGAACTGAATTAAGAGCAATGACCCATAGTGCGTTAAATTTTTTAACATAGATTATGAAACCTGATCAGGACCCACAGCAGAATCAGTTTTAGAAAGAAGAGTATTGTGATATTTATCAAATGATATGGGGTTCTCAGAATACTGCAGAGGACTGAAAAGTAATTCAAAGTCTACAGAAATAGGTGAGAGAGATGTTAAAATTTCCTGGGCTACCTCCTCAGGTGGCAATTGAGATGAAAGAGACATGAGAAAGATGAAACCTTGTTAATTTTATTCCAAATATCTTTAAGGGGATTATTTTTATTTAGTTAGCTACAAAACGATATAAAGCTTATTTCTGTTTTAATGTTAGAAATTTTCTAGCTTTTGGTATGAATTTTTTAGCCTCTATATAGTTTTCAGCACTAGGAGAATTTTTAAATGTATTCATAGCTGAAACTCTCTTTTGTATTATATGAGCTCATGAATCATCCCACCATGGAATGTGATATTTGTTGTTATGAGAGGAGGTTCAAGGAATTGATGTGTCTGCCACTGATGATATATATTCGATAAAATTTTCATAGTCCTTAATTGGAAACGATGAGAAAATACACTCTAGTTTTTATGGAATGAAAACCAATCAGCCTTTTTGAAATTTCTTCTTTTAGAAACCTGATTAGAGTCCTGTGTTGGGATACCGACATGATATAAAATGGGAAAATGATCACTAGATCCTGTATCTGCAATGGTGGTCCATCCATTAATTTTAGGTGGTACATCTATCGAAGCCAATGATAAGTCAACTACTGATTTGCTGTCACCAGGACGAACCAATCTTGTTGGAGAACCATCATTAAGAAAAATTAACTTAAGACCTTCTTCAATTTGCAAAATATGTCTGCCATTAACACTATCTCTTGAGCTTTCCCATGCTCTATGATTACAATTTAAATCACCCATGATAAGTAGAGATTTGTTGATCAAGTTGACCAAAGAAGACTAGCATGTTTTGGAAATGAGGTTGTCCAAAGGACAATACATATTTAATATATTTAAATTATACTTGGGTAAAAAGGTGAGTTGAAATTGAACATCTGAATTAAAACCAGGATTGTTAATATAAATATCCCGAAAATCTATATTGTATATGATAAGGGTAATTAAGCCCCCGTATCCATCACCTAGATCCTTTCTGATAATGTGATACCCTCTGCATCGAATTATATGTTAGTTAGATAGCCAAGACTCACTAATGAGGACAATATCGGAGTTATAGTCTTTAATAAGAACTTTTATGTTATCAACATTGGTATCATAAGATCTTATATTTCATTGTATAATAGTTAGTGGGGCGTGATAATTAAAAATATAAAATGTTAAAAACATGTGTGTACAGGTCAAGATAAGAGATGGATCAGTATTCTGAGTCCTCAGACTCAGATACCTCCATCCCTCCTAACTCCTGATATGTATCATTATGTGATACACTTTTATTTTTATGATTACCAATCTCTACATTTAATCCAACATGATCCTTAGGAGAACTATAATTTTTATTAATCAATTCACCAATAAGTGTCGTAACCAAATCCCTATGATTTTGATTGAACATTAATATAGCCTGATTTAAATATCTTTGGATCTGAGAGTTATTTATAAAGTGACTAGGATATTCTTTGAGGGATCTCCCATTAGGATTGTTCAATACTTCAGAATGAGAACTTTGATCAAAGCCTACATTTAATGGTCTTTTTCTTTTTGATGGAGTCGATTTTGTAATATGACTGTAGGAAACAGAATTTTAGGACAGGTATGTAGCAACTGATCTCCTCTCTTGAACTGAAACACTATTTGCAGAGAATATATTATTTACAAGATTAGGAAAATCCTTAATGTTCAACTTTGGGCTAGATATTTCCCTTGGAATGTTTTGGTTAGCTTCATAATAGGAGAAGTTGGTAAACGACATAAGTACCTTAATACTCTTTTGTCTTTTTTTTGTTTAGATTCAGGATGTCTAAAGTCATGATCTGGTGTTTTATAGAACATAGAAAACCTGCTGCACCCTACAAACGAGGGAGAATCATGATTTGCACTACATGTAACACATCTGTTTTTTCCCTTGCATTGAGAAAAAAATGCCCATATAAATGACAATTATGACATTGGAGAACTGTACTTACAAAGGGTATCACCCTCATAGGCAGACAATAAATTTTAATTTCTTTGGGGATATTCGATTCTGAAAAAGTTGAACAGATAGTATCTGTAGGGATAAAAGTGGTTTCTGAATTATTTTGCATAACCCTTCTATTCATTCCTTAACAGAGATAACTCTACAAAAGGGTAGATTAGTAGAAGTTGACATTTGAATTTCCTCTTCTAACAAAGATTTAAAAACTTCGCTGACAATACCTTTACAAGAGATAAGATGAAAGGGGATTAAAACCTCATAACCTAACTCTTCCCAGTTCTTTCTAATGATAAACGAATTGGCAGATTTTCTGTCCTTGAATACTACCCCAACTCTATTTTTCCCCTTTCTGTCAACCTTAGCAATCTCTTTCAGTTTTAATTTAGCAATACTTAGATTATGATAGTTACCCACATTACTATTTTTACCCTGAACAAAGAACTCAAAGCGCCCAAAATCGGATTCATAATATAAACTTTGTTCTTTAATGTTTACTTTCTCTATTGCATTGTTTTGAGACAGATTTTGACTTATATTATAGTCGGGATCTGGTAACGGATGGGGAGGAATTTCGTCCTCCATAATGGCGAACGTTAACAAAGTTTAAATCTACCAAAATATTTAGATGTGGTTTGACTATATAGAAGATTAGGAAATGTGTAAAGGAATATTATCAATAAGAAAATGTTAATAAGGCCATTACTGGTATTTTGTAGGATATATCCAGCAATCTCTTTGAACACGAGGCAACCTGGAATGGCACTTATCCAAGCTTTGATTTCTAATCCAAAATAAGTGCAAATTCGTAAAATATCCTATACTTAAATTACAAAAATTCGCAAAAAAACTTTAGACAGACGATTTAATGTTGTTTTTTTTTTTTTAGTTTAGTTTAGTTTAGTTTTTTTAAGCTTTTGACGTTTCAATACTGTCCATAAAGCTGCCTCTGTCTCTATATTTTCACGCCAGAAAGACTGTTACATTTGAGCTTAAACCTTGTGGACCAAATATCTTTTTGTCGCTTTTTAAGATTTTCATGTAACCTCCAGTAATCAAACGTACTACTAGTGTATTATATTTGTATTTTTAATTATAATAAATTGGTAGACCGATAAAAATTACTGGTTATACTAAAGTAGGTACTACAGATATAAAATAAAGATAAGAATACAAGAGACGTGTATTATAAAAGTAACTTTATTTTTTAAGAATGTGTAGGTACTGTGACAGTTTAACACAAAAATTTGTGAAAAATTTAAACTGAAAACTTTGAAAATACAAAATCACTTTAACTAATTTGTTGAAATTTCAGTGTTTATGTGTTACGTCAGCATCAATCATCTTCCAATGATCTAAATTTTGTAAGCACATATCCAGTAAAGACTTTGTTTCAGGAATGATCTTAGAGAGAAGTGTATAACATGGTATACAAATACCCGTTATAAATCCAACTTGACTTGTTGGCTGTTGATCTGGTTGGTATCTGTCCATCATTGGAATGGGAGGTCTACCTGCCTTTCGTTCTTCGTCTCCTTGGTCATAAAATTCCTCAAATATTACCTAAAATGAAGAAAAAAAATATGGAAAATAGGTGATTAGTTTGACTAATGTGTGTACAATTTTTGGTACACAGTTTATGGTTACCAAAAACTGCGTGTACAATATTTGGCCAGATGAAGTGGTAATGTTTCAAGCTGTGTGTAGGTGAATTTAGCTTACATATTTGGTGAATACAGTTCTGATGCTTTTAAATGCGCATCTAGACTCCTACAGTTTACTGTTAAATTCTAGCGGAGCAGACTTTGCGACTTATTTAACAGATGGCCATAATATGACAGATTTTTTTAAATTTTGGCGGAGCAGTTTGAGACACCTTAAGCGGATGGAATATTACGACCATTTTCTAACAGGTTGTATTTTTTCACTGCATTAGTTAGTTTGTACAATATTACTCTTTTGAGTTTACGTTTCTAAAATTAGTAAAATGTCAAATAAAAAATTAAGTGATGCTGAACTACTTAAAAAAGCAGAGAGTTTGAGTAAAATGGAGTATGACTTTATTAGTGAAAATGATGATGATTCCAAAGTTGATCCAAATTACCGATTCGTGTTATTCTTCCTTTAATTCAAAAAATAATAGTGATGAACAAAAGTTATAATTCTAATCCGATCTAGAATCTTTCAGCAACGATTCTGAACCTGATACTTTTGTAAATAATACTATAATAATAATAATCCTAATGTCATTTGGAATAATTGTGCAAATTATATATAAATTAGTATTCACTTTTATAGTTTTAAGTTTTGTTTACAACGACATTTCCTTTCGGAAAATTCAGGATTCTCCCAAAGTTTTTTTGTACAGAGGCAAGGAGATCATTCAATTAATTTTTATAAATTATTTTTAAAAAATATTTATTATGGGATTAAGGGAAATCTTATCACTTATTGCTGAGGAAACCAACAGAAAATATGTTAAACAAAAAAAAAATTAACACAAACAACCTTATTGGGACAATGTAGAAACACAAATCAATCCGAAATTTTTTATAGCACCACTTTAGCACCAATATTATTTACAAAAGTGAAATTGGAAAATTTGTTTACATATTTAGGATAAGGTTTGAGCTTCTTTTGTCCAATTTGCACTTGCACACCTGAACCAACGAAATTGCCTCAATTCGAAATAGGTTCAAACGAAATCACGAAATAGTCTTAAAAAATTCGTTTCCTTGTAAAATTTGCTAAGCAAGAAGTTTCAATCAGCACATGTTCCTAACAAGAATTGGATTCCATTTCGAGAACGACTGAGCTTTTGTCAATATATCCCGGGGAAGCGTAACAAATACGGTGTGAAATTATTCAAGCAGAGTAGAGTGAAGGGTTATACATGCAATTTAAAAATATAAACAGGAAAAGAGCAAATTGCACCTACAGTCCCTGGCCATATTATTGACCACCTATGATTTTTTTACAAAAATCGAGTTCTTCACAACTTTTTGTTTAGAAATTTATTTTGAAATTCAAGTTTTTTATGTAAAATGCTTTAATTATAATATATTTAATAACAAACAGCAATAAAATCTTTGAGAAGATTACATATTTACATAATTTTTAATATTTTGTTAAATCTCCTTTGGCTTTGATTACCGCTTGTACCCGTTTTGTCGTACTTTTAATGCAGCTAAAGGCACTTTGCTTCAATTTTTTGTTGTTGTTCCAATAATATATCAGTTTTTCCATTATAACAATTTTGTTTGCGACTTTTTCATTGGAAATTTCCCGTTTAAGAAGTTCCCAAACATTTTCTATGGGATTAAGATCAGGAGAATTTCCCGGCCAGTCCAAGAGAGGAATACCATTCTCAACCAGGAATTATTTCATTGATTTTTCAGTATGACATGGTGCACCATCTTGCATAAATATGCATTCCTTATTAGGAAACCATTCATGTACTTGAGGTATCAGTCTATTCTGTAATATTAATATGTATTGATCTTGTCGCATTATCCTCTTAACTATTTGAAGTCTATCAAGTCCCTTACCGCTAATGGTAGACCACACCATTATTTTTGTTGGTTGTTTTACAGTTTTAATAAAATATTAAGTTAAATACTGTTATTCTGGTCTTCGTTTAATATATTGAGCTTTATTGGTAATATTTCAAAGGAAATTTCATCACTGAAGCAAACCTGTCAAAAATGAAAAATTTTAGTTTAATCATGTTTTACTAACTATAAACATGCCAAACCTTTTTCCACTGTTCTACAGTAAAGGTCTCGTATTGCCTTACCCAAGCTATTTTTTTTTCTTTATCTTTTCTCTAAGAACAGGCTTTTTAGCTGGACGTAGGCTTTTGAACCCCAACTCCATTACTTTTTGACGCACTGTACACGTCGATACTTGAACGCCACCTTCGACAAACCTTTATAAGTTTTATAACTTATATAATAATATTCAGAAAACTTATAAATTAGTAAAAAAATTAAAATAACACTTTTTTTAAACGCTACTTGCGGTCCAGAGTAAACGGTAGCACAACTGAAAATGCCAGAGCTCTCTTTCACTAACCTTATATCTTGACTCGAGAAATGTTTACACTCATAAAATATTTGATAAATAAGGTACTTGAAATGTTAACATTCATATTAAAGCATAATTAAACTCAATTCGGCATAAATATATTTACGCTAAAATAAAAATTTCTTGAATACCATGGGTGGTCATAATAATTTGGCCAGGGACTGTATGCAATGGCATTAATGCACCTTGAGTTAGACAAACACTTTTCTTAAATATCTGTAGATTTAGAGGTTTCATCAAAATATAATAAAATGATGATTCCTGATAGTAAACATGAACTGTACAAAAATATGAGTCCAACTGAACTATTTTAACTTTTTTTTGATAAGAATGTGATGCATTTGTTGGTAAATAAATTAATAAGGTATGGTTCTTCCAAATATATAACTGAGTTTGCTATAACCAAGGATTTAATAAAATGTTTCTTCGGTATATAGACCAACAAAAATCGAAAGAAATACCTATAAATTGTGGAGTAAGACAAAAATGTGTGCTTTCCCCTTTACTTTTTAATAAGTATTCAGAAGAATTGTTTAAAGAGGCATTAGAAGACGCAAATAAAGGCATATTTATTAACGGAACACTTCAGAATAATCTTAGATACGCAGATGACACAACACTCCTTGCGGACAGCAGAGGAGGACTACAGACCTGGGTTGATCGCATTACCCAATACTGCGAAAGGTATGGAATGGCACTGAATACAAATAAAACCAAAATCATGGTGGTAGGCAAGAACAAGATTGAGGAAGAGAGTGTTTATGCTAAAGGAAAACTTTTAGGCAGGGTACACAGATATCAGTACGTAGGTTGCGAACTAACTGAAGAATAAGATAGAAGTACGGAAATAAAACGACGTATTCAGATAGCTAGAAGTGCTTTTAATAAGATGAAAACAATATTATGCAATGGAAAACTCAACGAGATGCTACGTGTTCTCTGTCCGGTTGTATAGAGTTGAGGCTGGAATAATTACAGAGGCAACAGAGAAAAGACTCAATAACTTTGAAATGTGGTGTTATCGAAAAATGTGAAAAATATCTTGGACACAACACATAACAAATGCGGAAACGCTACGAAAAAAGAAAAAAGATAAAGAAATACTCAACACTATAAAGAAAAGAAAAATGAGCTACCTTGGTCACATACTAAGAAATGAAATTTTTAATATTCTGAAACAGTGGAGTGGGACGTCAATAGAACTTTTCAGAACGGCTGCAGATAGAGTCAAATGGGTCATGATGATCGCCAATGTCCTTAGGGATGGGGTACGTTAAGAAAAAGAAGTTTCTTTGGTATCGTACTGGTGTCTGGCTACAATCTACATCTAGGTAAAGGATTTTATTGAGATTCGCATCCCAATCTGAATAATCTGGCTATAAGTCAACCAATGAGAAGAAACCGGTTTTTTGAAATAAAAAATACATTCATACAAAGTTTATAAATTAAGACCTAAATAAATCTGCTGAAAAAAAAAATTTTAAAACTGCTTTATTTCTGAAGAGCACCTAAGTTATGACGAGTCCATGGTGAAGTATTACGGTTGCGATGGATTACTGGACTAGGACTTTATTCTAGATCAAAAATACTTTTAATTTAATACTGGTCGAAGTACAAAAAGGTCACGTGCAAAGAAGTAGTCATTACGAATATTGCCTATATAAATTCATATTCTTTTTAAGCTGCTACTGACAATAATATGAACAGTGTATAATATTTATATAAAAACTTTAAAATAGTTCTTTTTAAATGTGTTTAAGTATAATGTCGGATCAGATTTGACTTGATGATAAATGAAAATGCCACTTAATCCCTATTAAATAATACAAATTTACCTCAACAGTCTTAACCTGAATATCCCACGGTTTTGCACTTGCACTTAAGTCACTACCCGTCATAGCTATGGCCTGTATGAGACGTCTGTGTTCTGTAATATTCCAAGAAAATGATCCTTTCTCAACGATCTCACTAAGTTTTGTTTTATTTGGGAAAAATAAGGCTAAATCTGTTGCCAGAATGCAATGCTTCAAGTGATCCAATACTTGTTTGTAGTCTGTATGTGATAGTTTGCTAAATATGTTATGCCCTTCCTGAAACCAAAAATGATTTAAAACACTTAGAAAAATCGAGTATGGTTTTGTTGTTAACATTTTATTTTGAAACTATTTAGTCGCATTCATTTTTTCACAGGAACTTTCAAGGATACATTCCTGAATATTGAACGTATATTAATAATGTAATATTAGTACAAAATACTAAAAATAGTGTCTGTAGTGAAAGCCTGTCTATTACGCAGAAGAAAGTTTCAAACTGAATCGATCAAAAACGTCCAATATGTTTATTTGAAGATGGAATTACTATTAAAAATAAGATAACATTTATTGGAAATATGGTTTTTAAAATTAATAGTCTTAGATATATAGAATCAACAGTAAAGTTTTCTTCATTTTTTTTATTTAAAGGAAAATGTACTCAATCCTATAACTATCCAGCATTTTATATTTATTCTAATCCACTAGTTAACTGTCCTAGGTATTTTGAATTGTTTACCTTCGAATCTAATAATTATTCTTGAACACTTCACTTTTGTGGCTAGGTTTAAATTAAAGAGACATTTATACATTTATCACTATTACACTGTTCGAAAGAGTAGAGGGTAGATACACTTTACGATCCTGATAAAGGTAGATCTACCACAGAATCACGGCCTACACGAGCCGTGGTTCATTATCCCTCCCTTTAACCGAGAGGGTACCACGTCCCAACTTACCATTCTAGAAATGACAAAAATAGAAGGCCCTTAGTCTCCGGCAGAGTCTTGAAATCAGGTTATGGTAAAAGTCTCGGATGTAGAGGAAAAGAGGAAAAGAGGGTGCTAAGAGTCTCCGGAGCACGACCAGGCTACTTTCACAAACGACAACGCCAAAGAATACATAGGTTATATGTAGGGTGACCATATGTACTTTTTTTAGTAGGACAGTACTATCTTTTCAAACGCTCTCCTATTGTACTTTAAAATTTATGAAGTACACCTAAATGTACTCTTTTTCTTAATTACACAAAATTAAGTCCTACTTTTTGTCCAAACAAAATATAATTATGATTCGAATTGATGTGCTCACTGTTGATTAGTCTATTAACCTTTTGTCTTAAATTCCGTTCACCGCATATTGTGTTTTGCCAAGTTTGTAAAAGTGATGTTGATATTTCTAACAGTGGTCGCAGTAATATCAAACAACATTTGTTAAAGAAAAAACACATGTTAGCTACTAATGCAAACTCGAAGAGCAGCAAATTGGAAACCTTTGTTAAAAAAGAAAATTTAAGTTCTTAACTGCCAAGGAAGGTACTTTTGCTTACCATAAAATTAAGCGTTTGCAAAGTTTCAGATCCTTACTCTGCACGTCAAAAGCATGTTTGAACCTAAATTTGCGGCAGTTCGAACCAAGACTGAGGCGATTGTAAAAAATGTTTTAGCTCAAGACGCTCAATCCCAATTAGAAATTGACCTTCGAAAAGCAAATTTCGTCGGCATCACAATCGATTCGTTGAATCATAGAGAAATTAAAGTTGTGTCCTTAATGGTAAGATATTTTGATGGAGAAAATGGTGTCCAAGTAAAATTACTTCTGGTAATTGCAGTCTGGTAACATCAAAGCAGTTAAAAGATTACGTGGTCAATGTTTTGAACCACTATATTTTACTACAAAAATTCATCGGAATGTCTGCTGATAATACAAATATAAATTTTGGTGGTATGAGAAAAAAAAGAGTGAATAATCTATTCATCAAATTAAATGCTTCTCGTGGTAAACCCGTGATTGGAATTGGTTGTGTGGCACACATTTTTAATAACTGTTTACAAAATGCGACGGTCGTCTTATACATAGATATCGAGGTTATTGCGGTCAAGATTTTTAAGTATTTCTATATTTTTACAGTCAGAATGGAGAAATTAAAACAGTTTTGCGATTTTGTTGATATCGAGTACAAAAAATGTTGTCGTTTTCAAAAAAAAGATTTTTGAGCCTAATGCCAGCCATTGAACCAATTATACAAATGTTCGAACCCTTGAAAGCATATTTTTTGTCGATTGATAATTGTCCAACAGTTCTAAAACAGTTTTTTCAAAACCCAATCAGTGAAGCAAGGATGTGGTTTGTGCATAACATTGCGTCTCTCTTCCGCAAAGTGATTTTAGTAGTAGAAGGTGACAAAATATGCGCAACGGAAGCCGCTTTGGAGTATTTTGAACTTATAAATAAGCTTCAAAATCGCTTAAATAATTTTTGCCGCTTAAAGTAAGAGAGTCCCTTTCAAAACTTGAAAATATGGAAGACCTTGACCTTAGTGTGAACTATCGGGATATCTTTATCACGCATGTCAAGCAGTTCTATTTAAATTTTGTAACATATTTGAAAAACTGGACTGAAAATTTAAGTAAACTAAAGCTATTTGGATGAGTTAACTTGAAAAAACAAGTTTCTTGGGCTAAAATTTTGTTATTGTTTGATGAAGTTAGTCTAATACGAACCTACGTTATAGAAAATAGAATCACAGACTGGAATTCGAAAAATATTTCTACCGAAGATCGATGGCTCGAAATCTTCCAAAAAGAAAGGGCTTTGAAAAATCTCAAAATTATATGTGTTTGTTTTTTGTCTACCGGGACCAGTGCGTCGATTGAGCGGTTGTTCTCAAATATCAGTAACTATTGGAGTCCCAACAAATCGCAGTTGAAAATATCTAATCTGGAAGCCATCATCCAAGTCTACACAAACTATAAAGTTTCGTGTAATGAAATATTTCAGTTCTTAAAGAGTAAACCACAACTTCTGAAGGAAATTCATAGTTCCAAAAAGTACGACTGGTACCAAAATGATGATCAAAATGTTCAGAAAGGAACGTCAAAAGAAAATTATTTATTAAAATTTATCATACATTTTTTATGTACTTATGTTTGATTAAAAAAAATCGTTCTTATCATTGTTTCATTAAAGATTCGTAAAATTTTGACCAGAACAATTTCCTAGGGCACTAGCAGTGTACATATTTTCTTCAAAAATATAAATGTAATTTTTTTTGTTGAAAAATTATGGTCACCCTAGTTATCTGACAACATATAACACCAGATCATTGATGTAGGACGAAAAGCTCCGTGGAACTTGAAAACGAGCTGAACCATATAAGATGGGATATACTTGGATTATTTGAACTACGGTGAAAAGGTGAAGAACAAATGGTACTTTCGTTGGGAAACCTATTGTATTATAGAGGAGAGTCTTACGCCTTTTGAGGGATTTATGGTAAATAAAGAATACCTCTCGTATCGCACTTATAATGGCATCGTAAAACCTTTTAATTTCTTCGTCTTTGTAGACACTGGTAGGTGCGTATATTACTAGACAAATAGTTTTTAACAGTGTGTTTGACTTACTTGCTGAAGTATCGTAACAGTGTGATTAAAATGATGGTGTTCCATTGTAGAGGTTGAATAGATAGCTGCCAGTGGTGATTCTGTATCCAACATAAACTTGTTGTTCTTCCCCCTGTGGTCTAAGTCGTGACACAATGCACCAACAAATAAGGCCAAGCACTAGAAAATATGAATAAAACAGATTAGTAAATTCTCATAATTATGGTATTTATATAAAATGAGTTTGCACAAGTTAATAGAGAGGATAAAAGGTAAATTATAGCATGCAGTTTCCATTTTAATAATTGCACCAATTAGTCTACCGAACCCGAAAAAAATATTTTGGAGATTAAGTTTAGTTCAAAATTAAATAGTTTCTATGGTCGAAATGTTCTAAACAATTAATTTGAAGCTATTTAACTGGTTATTGATCAGAATAAAAATTTTTCCATAGAGACGAGAGAATAACTGAAAATGAAAAAAAGTATAGTCATACATAGTTAAGACGGATACTGCTTCAAATGGCACGAGGGAGAAGAAAATCTCAAAGCAAATTGTTTTTCATTTATTATTTGTAGATTTCTAACGATTGAGATTTTGTAGTATTTATTACAAGACAAAGCTAGTAAGTATATTTTATAGTAATGGTTATAGTGCCCAAAACCGCAATGCTTTACTATCTAATGCGCTTTTAAATATTGCCATGAAAAATGATCTAGCATTCTACAAAAGTATTTAGGGAAAGAGCATGCTTAAATGGACTCGATGCACTCAACTATAAAAAGAAAATTACCAAATACAGTGATTATTGTACCTGCTAATATGTACAACTAGCCAAGATTGCCAGAAAATTTCCTAGATCCTACACTGTAAATTACTTCAATACAATTTTTTTTAAGAGTTTTTAGTATAAGGTTCGCCACTCAATGACAAATTTAAGCCATTAAACACATGGCAAATAAAGGGAGTCAAAGTAATTTATTTAATGATTTACCAAATTTATACAAAGGTTCATTGAAAAGAAAAAAAAAAACAAAAATATGAAAACCTTCACTTTTTAAAAAAACGATGGAACAGAATTATCATAGATTTTATGATAATCTTAGCTAATAGTTAGTATTTATAAGAAATGACTTACTGATATTTTTAGTTTCGTTTTCGCCATTTTTTTCGTTTGTTTCCAATATTACATTGTAAAAAATCTACTTTGTTATTTTATACTGCCTTACTTAATTAAAAATTACATAACTCCAAAATCTTTCCTTATTTCAAAAGTGGAAGATACCTAAATGCATTTCTTAAGTATTATCATTTTAAAAGTAGATCTATCTTTATGGAAAGGCTGACGGAGACTACTCGAAAGTAACTGTATCAAATAAAACAAAGTCCTAAGTCAAAATCATTTTTTAAATCAGTTTTGTGTGCGCTGAATGTGTGTAAAGCGCGTGCGCTGACTGTTGGTATGCTAAAGAGATGAGTCACTAAGTCACTAGCGAGTGTTATTGTTCTAGCCACTTTGCTTCTACTGGCTGCCTCCCCACCCACTCCTTCACTCAGCAGTTTGAGTCATCACAGCTAGTTGTTAGGTTTATCCCACTGTAAGCTCTTACAAGTTCATTTATGTCTTCTCTTTGTGTATGTCGCCAAAATACACAATCTCGACAAAAGATTGTTACTTTGGCCGGCCAATCACAGCGCTCGTTATTAACTTCGCTGTCATTGGCCTCTCGGCGGAAGAGCGCTGCGAGTTCTCAATTACTAAACGTATAAAAGAGCAGCGCACCTTGCACCGAAATACAAGTTCGTGAATTACTCAACACTCCATACCGTCATGAGGACTTCATCAATAATCCGATGATAGCCCCCACTAACGAAGAAACCATTCGAGAACTGTGTTACGTCGGTAAAAACACCGCTCCCGGCCCCAATAGCATTCATAATAAATGCCTAAAACAACTACCTCCGAGTATATTCACAATAATCACGACTATAGTTAATGCAGCCATTAAGATTTGCTATTTTCCAGTCTCCTGGAAAGTAGCAAACACAATAATGATCCCTAAACCAGGAAAAGCCCATACAAATCCTGAATCTTACAGACCTATTTCGCTCCTAAATACTCTAGGTAAAGTCTACGAGCGTCTCCTAAAAAAGAGGCTCGAAGAATTCCTAGAAAACAACAATATCATCCCAGAATTTCAATTCGGATTCAGGACGGGGCACTCAACTCAAAATGCATTAACGGAAGTAGTCTCGCATATTTCACAAAGCATTAATTCCAGAAACAACGTCGTCATTGGCACGTTCCTAGACGTCCAAAAAGCTTTTGATCCGGTTTGGCATACAGGCCTGATCAAGAAACTTCAAGCTATTGGATTGCCACTTCCATTCATACTAATAATGCAATCGTATCTATCAAACAGAACGGTTAGAGTTAAGGTAGGAACAGAACTCAGCGAACCCTTTACTCCCCTAGCGGGAGTCCCTCAAGGTTCCATATTGGCTCCTATATTATACTCTATTTATACATATGACATACCGAGGGGTCCTAGAGACTCAACGAAAATTCTCCTGTATGCGGACGACACGGCTCTCCTCTCATCAGGCAGGAAACAAGCGGCATTCAATAACGCCCAAATTCAAATCAACCAAATAACTAGATGGTGTGCAAAATGGCGTATTACGCTAAATGCGGCAAAACACAAAACATCGTGTTCAGTCATCCAAGTTACCGTCTCGGCAATCTTCCGTTCTTATACCTATATCAAACGAGGCAATTCAAAGCTTCTGTCACCTATTTAGGAGTTATTCTAGCAAGAGCTCTTAGCTGGGAGCCAGAACTCCAGAATGTCCTGAAACAAGTATGGCAACGAGCTTCGCTTTTGGGGGGTATAAACGGAAAATTTGGAGCTACAAATAAAACGACACTTTTGCACACTTATAAAACATTCATAAGACCAGTTATTGAATACCGTGCTCCTTTGCTTATGGCCTTAAACCGTAGACAAAGGAACAAAGTTCTTGCATGTGAGAGGCAGATTCTGCGGAAGATATGCAGAAAGATTTTTCATTATCCTTCCAACCTAATTCACTCTACGGCAAACAACACCCCACTAATTACAACCCGACTCCAATCCCTAGGCAAGAGATACACCTTGCGGACTATCCAGGGTCGCAACACCAGGGCCCAGAGAGTTCTCAAGATGCCTTGCCACCCTAGAGGACACATAGTATTCAGAACACCCAAAAATAAAGTTCCACATATCCCTTCTCTCCTACTAAATGCGGTAGGAGCAGATCTCTCGGATGAATACTATGACGTCCTCGAATCAACTCCTTACGAGTACCGCGTTCATAACTAAGAAGGACAGGGAGAGTTAGTTTTCTGTGGTTTCCTAACTCATTGCACAAATTATACCTGATCCTAGGTGAGGTTGTAGCCACAGCTATCCTCCACGGTTGAAAAAATCCAAAAGACTCTGCTAAAGAGCCGTTTTTAATGAGATGGGTCGCTGTTGTATAATTAACCACCAAACCGACGAAGACGATGCCGAAAAACACGAAAAACACGTAGCCAACCCCACCACAAGGCCAACAAGCAGAGATACGTAAGCTCCTCCCACCCAGCCGACCATATATAAAAGCATTTCTCGTCGCGTCGCACCATCCTGACCCCCCAATAGGGACAAAATATTACAAAAAGCCCAGAGTGAGAAGAAAATCTAATCAAAACACACACACATAAAGAAGACAGTTCGTAGCTCAAATCACCCAGAATATCGCAAATCGCCTCATTCACAGTGGGCCCTGTTGCTCACACTAGGATGCAGTCTACATTGTGGTGACCTACAAAAAAAATCACAAAAAACACAAAAAACGGCTTCGGCCACCAAAAAAATCAAAAAAAAAATACTAACAAAAACCGGCTTCGGCCACCAAAAAAATTAACAAAAACCCCAAAACCCGGGCACGTAGGGCCCAACCCCCTTGAGCACCAAGTCGCCGAACTGAGCCGGGACTCAGAGCGGAGACTTGAGGCCCAAGTAAGCAATTTTAGTTCGCGGATAAGCTACATTAAGATAAACAGGAATAAAGCAGAGATGCGCTGTCCTGAGTTTTCACATACGGTTAGGAAACCATGTTGGGGTTCAATTACCCAGGACCTCCACATGAAGAGCACTTGGCTGATTGTTGTGCCTCTATAGCGAATCAGATTGCTATAGGGGGGAAAGGGATGGTCTAGAGCATTGGAGCACGGTGGGGTGATTCTTGTTTTTAAACACGAATTAAAACACCTTGCTCCAATGAATTGTTACACCCGATCGTACTACCTGGGTGAACATGTCTCATAGGCTGGGTTCAATCAAATTGCTTGCTTGCTTGCGCACCATCCTGAGTACACTATAACCTGGGGCGCCCGCATCAACTGCTGGAGGACGAATTTAAGTGCAATACACTGGTTCGACCGAGGGCGGGAGATGTGAGCGATACCAGTAAATTATAGTAATAAACGGGATAAGCAACGAGGAATTTTCAATAACATCAAATTCCGCTGTTACCCGAAAATCTACGCTCGCCACAGCCGCGCTCGTTCAACAACAGAATTCAGTGCAATACACTGGTTCTGTGTTGACCGACAAGCGCGATTGTGAATTTAAAGCGAAGACAGAGTAAGGAAAAACAGCAGTCAAAGAAAAAGAATACGCTTAACCGCCGAAGACAATTGGCAAAACCAATTCTCAGCCTTGAAACCGATTCCACCCCGGACATTAACGGTAGAATAAACAAAACCCCCCAAACAAACCCTAAACAAACCCAATCCCTGAAGAGGCAAGAGCCTAAAACAGGGGCTCTCTCAGACAGAGAGAGTAATAACGAAGACACACACCGATCGGGACTTCAGTCGTCAGACACTTCGAGCCCTACTAGACCTTGTTGGTTAGTGGTGCTTCCTAGTAAAACTGTTGTTTCATTATTAATCCAAATAACCAAAGTCGTCCTTAGGTCGAATAAAAACGATTGCACCGACTTTGAAGATCAGCGATTATTTTCAACCCAAACGTCGAAGATATCCTAAGGCATTATTCGTCGTCTGCTATTATACCACAGTGCACGAAAAGCCGAGTATCAGCTGTAGAATCGCTCCCTGTCAGAAACATACGCTTTTTGAAATAGAAAAA